TTTGATGTACCGTTTACACGACACGCTTCGGCACACGGCAATGCTCCTTCGGTTGACCGAGACCAGCTCCATGAGCATGGCGAGAGCCGCAGCTCTCTCGGTCCCAAAGATGTTGAGCTGCCCATCGACCTCACGCCAATCCAACAGATAATGCAACGTTTCGGGTGCGACAACCTGCATGCCCGTGTGCAGCGTGATCCCACCAATCATTCAGTACCCTCACTGCTGGAAGAGCCCCGTGCAAGCGCAAATGCCAGCATCTTGGCGTCACAATCGCCATATTCCACACCACACTCGAGCCAACAGCTCGAGCGCATGCGGCGAGCGGAGCGAACCACACCTCAAGAAGGAATCACGTGCACGCTGGCCAATGTGCTGCAGAACAACTGCCGCCATGTTAATGATGCAATGGCCCTAACCATTGATGTGGACGTAGCCGTGAATGAAACGGCTGCCGAAGTTAGTGCCCTGCACGAATTGTCTTCAAACACCGCATCCTTAACACTGCGAGGAGACCTGCGCGAGGAGACACTGCAGTGGATCTTTGCCAATGGAAACTGGACTACATGTCGCGATCTGACCATCCGTGAAGAGCTCGCGTTCTCCACCTTCGACATGAGCATGCTCAACGGGTTCTCTTCCATAGAGCACGTGAGGCTGGTGCACAACTTTCGCTTGCAAGGTCTCGATACCACCAACTTCAGCCGCAAGAGTCAGCTGAGGTCTCTGGATCTGCAGCACAACTCCTTCATCAGCCTGCCAGACAATACATTCGAGGGCATGACAGGCTTGAACAAGCTGAACCTGACACACAATCGCCTCGACAGTCTCAGCAAGCAGACGTTTGCGGGGCTGTCAGCCCTCACCCACCTCTGGCTATCGGAAAACCTGCTGACGGCATTACACACGGAATCATTGGCTGGCATGCCCGAGCTGCTATTCACCAACGTGTCCTTCAACAAAATCAGCAACATCTCAACGGATGCCTTCGGCATGGTCTCAAACTTGACGCATCTCACCTTGGACTTCAATCCCATACGAGCCCTGGCCCCCACGGTGTTCGCTCCTCTCAAGGCACTTGAAATCCTTCGTCTCAACAACATCCTCCTTGAGACCCTGCCGCCCAAAGCCTTCAACGGGAATACGCAGCTCAAAGAGCTTTTCCTGATGAACAACTTTCTCATCTACCTTCCCGAAGATGTGTTCTCCGGGCTGCAGGAACTTTACAATCTCAGGCTCACGCGCAACAGGTTGAGGAAGTTGCCGCCAACCATATTTCATGGCCTTTCTTCGCTGGTGAATATTTCCGTGACAGACAATCGCCTGTCCGAGCTGCCTGCTCGGTTGCTCGAAAAGTGCCCCAAGCTGGAAGGCTTCTTCTCAAGTCGCAACGAGCTTAAGAAAGTGCCCCAAGACCTCTTTCACAGGTGTCCCCACATTCAGCGAGTGTTCTTTCAAGACAACAAGCTCAAGCATTTCAACGGAGTGTTCAACAACCTGGCGCAGTTAAAAACCATTGATGCTGCAGGCAACGAGCTTACCCAGGCCACCTTCGACACCCCCCTCCCAGAATTAGCTCATCTGCGGCTCAGCAACAACCCTCTCACACAGCTGCCAAACTTTACGCAGCTCACGAACCTGACCGAGCTTCGGCTGGACCAGCATCGCATCAAACGGCTCAACGTGACAGACGCACTGCAGCTGAAGCTGGAGGTCTTGGAGCTGGATGCAGCACCCGATGTCGACTCGGAGCTCGTCGTTGACAGGGGAGCTGTTGCGGCAAAGAACTTAACAAGTCTGCATCTGCGCACCTTGCGATTGGAGAATGTTGACGTTCGACGCGCATTCAAGATCCTCGGGAACTTGTCGATTCAGCTCGAAATTTTGCATGTGGGTTGGCCCGGCGCTGACAACCAGACCTTGCAGGTTCAGAACGTGTGCTCGCTTCTAAGCAAATCTGTCACCGAGCTTGGGCTGTCCAACACTGACTTTGAGGAACTGCGTCTGGACGAATGCAAAAACCACACCTTCGACACTGTGCTGCTGCAGAACAACAAAGAGCTGAAATCTGTGCGCATTCACACCCCGCTGAGCTTGCTCGATGTCTCTGGGTGCCGGCAGCTGGAGACAATTGACGTGCCTTCAATCGATGCGTTGGACATAAGCAACACTTTGTTTCCGCCGAGCCCGGCCCTCTGTACTCGCTGGGGCCGCCATGCGCTGTTTGCACGCAACCTGCCCGAGACACACTTTCAGACTCGGGTTGCGGAGGCTGCTTTGGCCACGTGTCTCCAGCTAGTGCGTGTGCTGGATTTGTCCGACAACGCGTGGCTGCGCGCTCCCAGAAGAATTGAGCAGGTCGCTGGCGGACCAGTCGCCCTGTCATCGCAGCAGTTTGAGACTGCCGGTGGCACCTCTGTACTCTCCCGAGATACACCCCCAGTTTTCCAACTGCAAGGGTCACCGGTCGAGTGTGGTGCAGAGCTGGAACGACAGGACC